CCCCTCTCTCTCCCCCACTCCCCCCCCCTACTTTCGCCCAAATTCCCTATGTTCATGTGACGAACAACTTTCTAAATATACCGCGAAAAGGGCAGAGAGAATTTCACGCTGCAGAGGAAATTTCCACTGCGAGGTTGCCAAGTCACGTACTGATATTGCATAAGTCATTGGTCAATGGTCCATGGTCACTATGTTTAAACATGGAACATTATTGCATAGACTGTGGTACTCTCCTATCTATCTATCTATCTATCTATCTATCTATCTATCTATCTATCTATCTATCTATCTATCTATCTACCTCTCTTTTTCTTGTATTCTGACTATCAAGCTTTCAAGTCGTCCCTACAGGGAAGCGGGCTGCTTCGACCTTGCTCGTTAGGGTCAGAGATCAAAGGTGAGGAGAATGGGATAGGGCACTCCCAAATAGTAGATGATTTACGTCCGCATCGACGAAGTCTAGGTTACTTCGGATGCTGGATGTATCGTTACTGTCTATCACGGTCAACCTGGGCTGAGAGGGATACAACCTCCCCGCAAAAGAAGGGTTTTACGGCACTTGCAACACATTAACGTCATTTGATATAAGAGCCGACGGTTAGAGGTGTACAAGAGAATAACAAACACAAAAAAAGAAGGAGAGATAAGGACAATAGATGTTTGATAGAAAGAAGGAGCAATCACACAGAAGCACCCGCCAACCATCCGTGGAGATACTCGAAGAAAACGTAGCCTCCGCCCTTAGAGATGGAACTCATGTTTTCTGTGTGAGATGTAAAACACTACTACCACCACCGGTGTGGTGCTACTATTTGAAGTGTCTTTAGACCATTCCCAAAGGGGGGACCTGTTCTTATGCACAGTAGAATTGTAAATGGGATGATCCATCGATGTCATGCTCATAACTGTGTCGGAACTGCAACAGGGAATTTCTGCTTTTTTTCACCTAATCCTTACTATCGTCATTTTTCCTCTACGTTTTTTGTATGTATGTCAGACTCTTGTGACTCGCTATTTCCGGGGGTGCCTTGATAGTCGAAGTAGACTTTGCGCTGTTGAAGCTAGAGAGATGAGCAGAGTAAGTCTGATTCCCTGTAAGGACTTCTCTGTTGACATCCACCCCTTGGCGCTCATAATTATATGATCTTATGCAGTTGCGAGCGCCGTAAAACCTCTACAACCCCCCTAACCCCCCCCCCAAAAAAAAAAAAACCACACAAAAAACCACTACTACATTTGTTGTACTTTTGTCTCTACCGGAGATACGACGAAAATAATTTCCCTGGGATATGGGACTTGAATGGGTGGTTGACGGGTGCTCTAGTGAAGTTTGCTCTTTCTGTCCTATCAATCATCTATCGTCCTGTTCTCCCCTGATTCTTTTTTGGGTTTGTCACTCTCTTGTAACACTTTTTACGTATCTCTCTATCTCTCCCCCTCCC